AGCATTTTGAGGAAAAAGAAAAAAGAAAAAATAGCAACCCCAGGAACCTCTCCCCTCCCCAATTTCTTTCTCATGTTGAAGAAGACAGCTACAAGACAAGACATGATTAGAGAAAGAATAACTCAGGTCTGCTGGAAGCATTGGGGTTTCAACAATTGTTTCAGAACGAAATAGAGACTCTAGAAAATTTTCATAGAGCAGGCAGGAGGAGCCCAGTGCCCCCTGAACAGCCCTAGCCTGGTGAGCACAATTCTCCCTCTGGACACGGGGAGACCCAGATGTGAGCCCTGGCTTGGCATGAGGCACTTCCAGTTCAACAGACATTGGCCTTGAGAGAGGAAGGGAGGAAACTGGAGGCTTAGCTGGACCATGAAGCCCATGAACAGAGAGCTCAGATGTGAGTTTACAGGACACTGTCCACGCTGTGTGAACTTCTCCTGTGGATACTCAAGCACATCCTGAATGGGATGAGTTATGTTGGTGTTACTGCTGCACTGGAAGTGTCCACATTCATGGCAAACAGCCAGAAATTCCAGCTTTCATTTACAGCACACTGACTCCCCCATGGAACAGTTCTCCAGTGAAAACCTACATGAAAGAGTAGCCTAAATCATGCATCTGCTTAATCCAGGCATATTTCCAATCCACACAATCTGATCTGCATAGCACAGGCATCACCCTCAAACCAGTTAGTACATCCTCCTTCCCCTCACCTCTGCCAAAACTCTCTCCTGTCAAAAGCAATGTACTCTGAATTGGGCTCAAAAGTTTCAGGGAGAGCTTTTCATTCACTTCTAACTCAAAGCAGATTGGCACATGGGAAAATCCCACTGGTCTATTGGGGTACAGGGTTCACTGACCCTCTGCCCTGCACCTCTGCACCCCAACTGCACCCTGCCTGTCCTCTCAGGGACTGAGAGAGCTGCACACACTCAGCCACATCTGGGTGACAGTGTCCCTTTCACACAGGGGGGTGCACACCCACTTTAAAGACTTTAAGCAACAGAGCATGCAACTTATCTCCGGTTAAATTCTCCCAGAAGCTAATTATCCTCACTGTTATCCAGCACTCCCCTTCTCGCACTAGTTAGAGAAGCATAGAGGTCAGCTCGTCCTCTAATCTTGCCCTGTTTTCCAGTCCAGTGTTTCCCTACACTACTTTTGATTTATTCAGCAATTTCATTTCCTCAGTGGCTTCCCTGAGCTTTCAGATAGACAGATCTCAAGGTACAGCCACATTAACAGTACAGTACTGACCTGCCATTACATTTGATGGGGTATTAGTTTTGAAGAGAATTTCCCAGATGTAGCTAAAATCCCCATTTTCATCACTGCACATTAATCCCTGCAATAGCACATATAACAACAGTAAATATATCCACAGCCCACGAGCTCAAAGCTCAAGAGGCCCCTACAGTGATCACAGTTGTGCAAACAAGCCCCGTGGTCCTGCAGGTAAATCAGGTGTGAAACGTGCACCAGTTTGTCACACGCTGCTCCTGGGCTGGGGACAGAAACCCCTGCAAGAGCCAAAACCTGCCGAGCTCCCACTCAGTAGAAAAGGGAAGTGAAGGCCACGAGAATGGCACAAAGATGTTGCAGAGCATGAGCTGGCTCTGCCACACGAGTCCAGCACAGCCTGGGCTTCGCTTTTGCTGAATGGGGCTGTTGGGAAGGTGGGAGGGAAAGGACAGACTCAGCTCCCCTGACGTGCCCTTGGCAGTAAATCTCCATGTAAGGGCTGGCTGGGGTTTCAGCAGGAGCGTGTCCCCAGCCCAGCCCTACGCGTGAGAGTGTGAATCACAGCATCAAGCTGTGATTTGGTTTTGAGTTTCCATCAAAGGTTTCACTAATAGGCGAATGAATTAGCTGAATGCTGGAAGTCACATACAGTTAAAAGTCAGAGCCCCATGGGAAGCCCAGGCTAAGAAACAAGGTCTCCTTTGACTGGGAAACCACAAGAAAACACATACAGCAAAATTCAAATATAAAAGCAAAGTGGAACATACGTTTGTTATTGTAAAGCAGCTCCTGTGAGCTCCACTAACAACTCTGCCATTCCAGCCTCTTTTTAATAAGAAAAAAAAAAAAAAAAAAGAGGCAGTGAAAGTCACCACAATTTCAAAAGTTAAAACCCAGAGGAAAGTTGGGTCTCTGCACAGCTTTCCTGCTTTGAAGATGAGAACTGAGGAGGAGACCAGAACACACAGGCACAGGATGGGTTAGGGTTACACTGTGCCCACCATTGTCCTCCACTTGGGAACTAGGGTTTTGTAGCCCTGGTCTACATTTGGATGCTGTACCAAGCTAAAAAGTTGGGTAATGTATTGAATTTTTACCATTATAGGCTAGGTTTGTGTTTGGACTGCTACCTCTATCCCAATCACTTCCATAAGCTCTTCACACAGGAACAGTCACTGCCTTTGCTACTGGATGGTCTCTTCCAGAGCCTTGACTGGAGCAGTTGGGTACAAATAAGCAGCTGTCCTTCAACTTTGGTGAAAAAGAGCAGGAAATCAAACATGCCTACCCCTCTGTGTGGTCTTAGTGACCAGGTGGACCTGCTAGATGGCAGGTGCATGGAAACTTCAGCTTTGTCCTTGTTATGTAGGATTTCCTTGGTGTTCTCAGCAACTTACATCCCTAAAACAGAAGCCTGAGTTTCTCTGTAATTAACAGCAAGCTGTAGGTTCTTCCCAAGAGTGACTCAAACCCACCTAAAACCAGGAGCCTACGCTTCTCCATGTGACTCCAGATGGTGCCTGAAATTAGAAGATGTCATGAATGGCTTCTCTCTTCCTCCTCCTGGCAGACAAAGTAAATGCCCTATTGCATGTGGTGCATCTGGCCAGAGGTTTTATCAACCAGACTCTTCTTCTGCCATGCTTGGAGTGTACAGCTGGTGCAGAGCTTTGTGCACAAACTCTCGGGGCTTGACACGTGAAGAAGAGGAAGCAGCATCAGAAAGATAAACCACAAGATAAGGCCTGGAGGATATGAGATCTGCTGGTCTGTAGCTTCAGAGCACCCAAAAGAAGAAACTTGCATGCAAAATGCAGTTTCCAAAAAAAAAAAATATTGCAGGCCAACACCTTGCTGCAAAAACCAGCCAACATCTCTTCCTCCAGAAGGTTTAGCTGGTAATTACTCACATGGAGGGTTAATTTTATGGGAAATTCTTTTAAACTCAGATTTTTTTAAAAAAATACATTGTATTTTAGAAAAGGTAATCAAAATAGTGGAAGACCAATTCAACTGCCTTGCAACCAGTTGCCTTTAAGTCATGCAAACCTCCCTCAACACAGCACCCACCTTTTAAAAATCTCTCCTATTTCATTTTCTCTGTTTGCATCTGACAAGATGCAAAAGTTAAAATTCACTCAGGGGAAAGAAGGAGAAAGAAAAAAAAAAAGAAACTTCGAAGCCAAATAACTTCTGACATGAAAGCTTTGGATTTTACCAGCCTCCCCCAGTTTCAAATGTCATAAAACATACAGGTGCAACTATCTCATTGCTCAGCATCCATATGAACCTTGTTATGAACCTTGTTATGTTCAAGTGAACACAAATCCAACAAATACTTCCAGCTTTATAATAAACCTTCAGAAAGAAACTGTCCATATTTTCCCCAGATGCAGGAACAGCTGTGCAGAGGCACATCTGCTTGGGAAACTCATGAGGACATTTGAATTTATAGTTTTAGACCCTGAAGCTTGAAGGCAAATTATGATAAAACTAGGAATATTGGATCCTGCCCCCAACAGAAAATATAAATCCCTCTTTGATTGATATTGATTACAGGAAGGAAACAAATTATTAATATTTCCCCATGTCAAGAGAAACTCCTTCATTGCAGTAAATATCCAGTTGATAGGACTACCTTGGGAAGGTAAATGATACTGTATTTGTAAACAAACAGAGAAAGGAGCAAGTGCTGATTGGCAAGATCATTCCTACATCCAGGTAGGTTCAAACACACCACAGAGGGCTACGAGCTTGTCAGACTCAAACTAAAAAGCCTGCATATATTGAGGTATGGCAAATGTGATTGCTATTTATTATTATCCTGCACCCTTTACTCAAATATCCATTCCATTCATGCAAGTCCAGCTCAACCAAAGTAAACTAAATTCCTTGATTTAACAATTTATGGCTTGATTTTAAAAGGGGCTGAGCCTGCAGGGGAATACTGAACATATGTTTGGAGTTAAGCACAAATCAACCCAGTGAAATTAGTGGTATTGATCACATGATTAAAATTAAGCATAAATGTCAATGTTTCCCTGGTTCATGCAAGTCCTGAGTGTGTCAGGAACATCTGCAGGGTGCACCCCAACTTTGCTCAGGGAAAGCTGTAGCTGTGGCCAACGTGGCCAGGTCAACACATCATCCCCAGCACTATCACACCACCAGCCTGGCTTTGGCTTTCCTGCCCAGAGACATGGGCTGAAACGAGGGGGACATGAGGGAAACAACTGATGTGGCCCCAGATGGCTGTGGCTCCAAAACCCTCATTCACCACCAGCAGGAGGACGTGGGGCTGCAGATCTGACACCATCTGCCACTTGTTTCAAATCTGAGTCTGAGAGGTCACTGAGCTACGACGAGTTGGAAAATCAGGCTTGATGTTTGTACATATTGAACCTCATGAAAAGCCTTAGTTTACACAGGAGAGTCTGTTGTCAAGGTAAAACGGGGCTCAGCTGGAATTCAGGATAACCAGGCATCTTATGAGAGCTGGATCACAGGAGGTTTAACACATAGCCAAGGAAAGGTGACAAATACGTTGCCCAAGCTCCTGAGCGTTCACAAGCTAATCCAAACCAACCTTCCAAACATCTTGGACTTCACCACAGTTCAGCTTCAGACCCTTCGAACACATCCACAACCACGCCCAGGTTTCACAGGGTCCTCCCCTTTCAGGGCCAGCCCCCAGCAAGCCCTTCAGAAATGAACTCACTGCCACTTTTGCTCCAGGGAGATGTTCCCCAGTCCCTTACCTGGACCACGGGGTGGCCCCCGGTCGGAGCCTTGACGGCGCCGCGGCTGCCCTCGGTCTCGTAGTGGGCGCGGTGATGGGGCTTCGGCTGCACCTCGATCCGCAGCTCGTAGGAGCCAGACTGGCTGGACAGGGGCCACTCCAGGGGCGGGAGCGACTGAACAGGCAAACTGGGCAGAGAGAGGACACCCCAGTGAAACTCCTGAGCCCTTCATTTCTCAAAGCCCTGACCCCACCTCCCTCCCCGCGCCCCACCGCGGCTGCTCTTGCTGAGCCATTTAGGAGTCCGCTGTTAATTCCGACGACATTATGCTGTCCTGCTCACATCTGATTACAAGCTCTGCTGAAATTCAGGATGACGACAGTAATTTCTGAGCACCCATCTCCATGCAGAAGAGAATATTTCTTATGCAGAAATACCTGTAGCAGTTTTATTTTTTAAAAGATCCCCCTCTTTTATCTAGCTTTTGCTGCGTGTCTTAAACTTTGATCACAGAATACATATTGTGAAATATTAACTCCTTTTACCATTACCTACCGGTCGTGCAAATTAATAACCTTTATGATTTCCATAAATATTAAAATGCACGTGAATAAAATGCTAAATATTCTTACCTGACACTAGTTTTCCTGTTACAAAAATACACAAGGGTTTATAACATGAAATGGATACACTGAAATGTACAACTAGAGCTTGCACTGGATTTCAAATCACTCTTATTTTGGGAGCACAAGCTGCTGCCAGAAACCAGTCTAGTGAGCCAAGGGAAGTCACAGCCTGTGTTCTTTCACTCAGAATTTGTGTATGGCAGGTTGGGAGCAACCTGGAATAATGTCATTGAGGGGACAGCCTCGGTGCTGAGCAGGATGGCAGGGCTGGCAGGGTGGCAGTGGTGACTGGGAGCTGAGTCACACACTTGGCACCCTCGGTCCTGGCAGATTTGCATCCCTCGGGGTCCAGCCCTGCCACTGGTGCCAGACAATGGATGGAGCTGATGAGGGGAGTGCCAATGGCTGAGATTTGGGTTGAGGGACAATTAACAAATTAACCACCAACAATAAATCACTCGGAGTTGATTGAACACTCAGTCTGACTTGAAGCAGTGTCCTCTATTTTGAATCAGGAATTATTTAAAGCATTTTCACCCTTGATGGAAATTTGTAAGTGACTGAATTTACAAAAACAATCCCATCATTTTCTTTAAAAGCAGCAGGATGGCACCAGCTTGTTCAGCCTTTGTCAAGGGCTGTCTGCAGTCTGCTATTGAGACAAATAATTTGGCAATTTGAATTTGCAGTGTACTGTGCTATCAGTGAACCATTTTGGTGATGTTTCTTCCAAATCCAGATTTATTCATCTCTCAGAATCATAATGGACTGGGCCCCCATTAACCAGTGCTGTCCCTGAGTACTTAGCTCTGATCTGCAGTAGGATCTGCCCAAGAAAACACTCCCTAGGGATCATCATGCATGACAGAGGACACCACACATGAGAAAACACATCCCCACAGGAAGGATGTACCTACCTGCAGATAGGGATTGCAGGCACCAGTTGCTTTGTCCAGGATGGAGGTACCAACAGAATCGGTTCTGGGGCTGAGTTTCTCCTGTCCTCCTGCTCACAAGGCCCGTGGAAGTCAACAGTCTGAAAGACGTGACATGAAATGCTGTTTTTGTGGGAAGACATTGATGAAGGATCAGGGCTGGTTTTCCAAATTTTCGTGGGAACACCACAGGAAGGATCCGTAGGAAGGCTGCTCATAGCATCCATGGAAAGAGGAGCGCTGGCCAGCTGTGTGTAAGTAACTGCAGAGTTGTCTTCTCTCAAGGGGATGCGAGGAGAGGATTGTGGAGAGGGGGTCCGTGACTGCCGTGGAGAGGTGGAAGGCAGCTGAGTGCTGTAGAGCTCAGTGCAAGAGTACCTCCGTTTTGCACCTGGTGATGAAGACCTTGAGTTGGGACGGGGTGATGGTGAATGTCGTCCCAAGCAGGTTTCCTCCGTGATGCTTGTTCGTGGTGACATTATTGGAGAGGTTCTAGGAGAATAATGAGTATGGATGTTTTGAAACTGTGGACAAAGGTCATCACTAGGACCATTATTTGGTGAAACACATGGTGACGTGCAAGGAGATACATTTGTCTCTGAAATGAAACTTGCAGAGGAGCCGCTACTAGCTGGGCTCAGACACAGTGGTTCTCTGTAGCCCTCAAAGCCAGGGACAGGCAGGGTAACCCTTGGGCTAGTGGTGGCTGAGTTTGACTGATGTTCTACCAAAAGAACATCTGTGTCTCTGCTGCGGAAGGGACCCCCTGAATGAATCAGTTCATGATATGGAGTAATTTCAATCCTAGGGCTCGGAGCAGAGGCCCCTGCAGCGTTGGCAGGGTGTGTAGGTGTTGTCCCTATGCTACTATCTGGCTGTCCATATCTGCCCATGGGATCTGCAGAAAGGCTAGGAAAAGGCAGGGGGCATGGCTTGAGGCCACAGTCCAAGACATCATGAGCGTATGTAACTCCAGAGGGTGGGCTGTTGGTTTTATGTGGAGTCGGTTCTTCTGGAAAAAGAAGGGTCTCTTTAAGACTATAAATATTATTACAGAAGCTGAGCAATCATGGATTAAAAAAAATGCATATTTATAAACTGGTTGTGATCTGGTATTAGCTTAATATTTGTTTAACTCTTTTTAACTGCAGTTAATGCTTGTGAAAAGTACTGGATTAGCAGCCAGGGAAGTTCAAGTGCTCAGAGCAGGTGCAGCATGGACAGAAGCACTGCAAACACCTCCACACTGCCTGAGCCTGACCTAGAGGGATCACCTGGAAGGGTCAGCAGTGTGTCAGCCTCTCTGCCCATGTCAGTGCTGGCCCTCCTGCTCTTTCTGCCAAATACACCCCTTGGCAAACTGGGGCACTGTGACTTTGGTCAAATTTTGTTAACTAGGAGCTGGCCTGAGACCATCACATCACAAAATCACTTCCAAACAGGTCTCTGTAAAACCAAGCGGTTGAGGAACAGCTTTTGGTGAAGGGAGAAAAACCTTTCTTACACAGCCAAGCTCTTCAAGAAACCAACCAAAGCTGAGCTCAAACTATTAAATTAAAAAGCCAGTTCTGTGTGATGATTTGTTTGGCTCCATATAATGTCAGTAAGTTTTGGTGACAGGTTTCACATAAGAATGCACATTCACAAGTATTCGTTAGAAAAGAGAGATAGAAAGGATCCAGCCCCATGGTTACAGGCAATCACATTCCAATTCCAGCCCAACTGGCCAGAGAGGGATTATAAAACACAGAGTAACAGAGAAGTGCTCAGTGCAACCCTCTCTCCTGGTGCAAAAAATCCTCAGTTTTCAGATTCTCATCTTGCAAACTATGCCCAACTTGCAGAGCACAGGGATACTTCCAGGCAACACAGAATTCCCACCAGCATCACTGAGCCCGGTTCTGATCTGATCCCAGAACCCCATCAGGTGCTTAAAGCCAGTGGCATCCAAGAGAATGGAGTCATGCCAGGTATCCCCAGGACAGATCATGTGCATCAGCTCCTGGAGCTTCCCCACCCTAGGAGCTGAATAATATTCATCATCACACAAAAGCATGCAAAGTACTATCAGGATTTTAATATGTTTTTAAAGCTCTCAACATATCCAGCAGGAAATAGCTGAAACAGCTCCACAGTTTGGGATTATGGGCACAGGTCAGTATGTGCCACAGGCGAAGAGGGTTTCATTTAAATATTTAAATAGCTGTTCCAGCATTTTCTCTAAGTCCTACATGACACGAGAAAATAATGTCAGGCATAATGCCAGGTAGGAGCTGACTGTGCTTTCTGCAATGGCTGCAGAAGTTTGTAGTGAAACTTTTACAGGCAGAGAGATTTTTACTTAATTTCAGGGGGTTTCTGTTTGTTTTCAGGAACTGCTGAGCCTTCATGTTTAGTGGGAAACCCCAAGAGCCAAGCAAACAAACCAACACACAGAATGCCTGTGACAGGAAAGGAGATGCACAGGAGAGTCCAGCCTGCAGATTTCTTAAGGTTCCCTCTGGCTTTTAATCCCAGCACGCAGCTGTTTTGGGGATGGGAAAACAGCAACCGAATTCTGAGCCGAACATATTTTTAGCATCGTTGATTTCAGAGCTTTGGCACTCCCAGGAACAGTGTGTCATCCCCATCAGTCAGATCTGACACATCAAGCCCAGATATTGATGCTGAGATTCACTTTTAATAGAACTCGTCACGCCTTCGGCATCAGCAGAGTAACACACCCCCCCAGACACGCAAAACATCACTCCCACTGCTCTAGGCACAACCCCCCCGATTCCAGCTGATGCAAGGGAGCAAAAACAGCACCAAACACAGTGAGGCTTGGTGCCAGGGCTTAGGGCAGGATGTGTGCAGTGACCAGCAATTGCAGAAAAATTCTCAAGGCTGAACAGCTTCACGTCAAGGAATGGGCAACCCTTTCAACACACCCACAGCTGAAGCTGCCCCCATCGAACACTTAAACTGCTTTATCTGTGCCAGAAACACAGACAGCAGGTAAAGAACTAAAACTCCTCAGAGCATCATCAGCAAAGCCAGTGTAGGTAGATTCACGTCGAAGGATTTGGGAAAAGCAAACATGTATTTCTATGTCCACATGTAATTTTTAAAGTCTTCTGAATAACAAACAAACATCACCACCCACTGCCCACTAAAAACTGGGCTTTAGATAACCTACATTTTCTTTGCTTATCCCTGTAATATTGTGTTTAAAAGAGCACTTTCACCCTTGGCATTCACCCTCCCAGAGGATCCACGCTCCAGATATTAATCACAACGTTTACACACAACAGCAAGCCACAGCGTGCCCTTGCCTTCACGGGAAGAGCTCCACAGAGCTCCTTGGTCCTGCAACTTGGGACAGCTCACCCAGGCCACAGCCTCTGGCCAAGCAGACACCCACAGCTTCTGGACAGCAACAATATTTACTTTCCCCCCACATGGCAAATTCATCAATAAAGCAGGACCGTGGGCAAAGCTGCAGACAAAACCTCAGGGAACGGCTCCAGGCGGCGATGCCCAGGGGCTGCGGCTCAGGCAGGGGAGAGGCTGCCGGCCCTGACTCATCGGCACGGCTTCGTCAGGAGCCAGGCTTGGGGGGTTTGGGGAGGTCTCCCGAGCGAGTCCCAGCCCTGCAGAACTCCAGAGGTACAATGAAATCACTGTCCCGGCTGCTGCTGCCCACGCCGGTGACGTCACGGTCTGTCACCATGGAGACGGCGGTGATGCTGCAGCTCTGACCTCACCGGGGAGGCAAAAAGGGGCACGGGGGTGAAACGGCAACTGCTGCTCTCAGAAATAAACGGCTCTGCCACCGACATCAGGAGAAATTCTGCTTTTTGCTTCAGCAGGAGGGGACTGGCTACTCTGCTCCTGGCCAAGTTGGCTAAGGCAGGCTGGAGTTAGGAATCTGCTCCAGGAGAGGACAGACCAGAGCCAACATCCCAGCCTCCCCAGGCAAGGAGCACCACCAGGAGTTTGCTTTTGTAAACAGGTTCAAGCTCCTGCGTTTGAGAGGGGGCAGATAGGGGGAAGATGCTCCCCAGAGGTGCAGGTTTTGCACCCAAGGCTGTGACGCCTTCAACAGTTCATCCATTCCTGCATATTGCATCCCAAAACACAGACTGAAATACTCCAGCAAAGGACTGTCCTCTTCACTGCTTTTGTGATGGACATCTCAGCAAACACCACAGCAGCCTCAGCACAGCTCCCCTGCATGGGCAGTTACAGCACTTTCCCATCTCCCTTCACTCAGGCATTCCCAGCCTGAGGTTTCACTGCTGAATCACCCTCTGATTCAGTACCAAAATATCCTTCTGGTTTGACAGTGGGTTAAAAGAAAGCAAGTTTCTCACCCAGACAGCACTGACACCTCCTCACATTCTCTTTCAGCTTTACTGTCAGCAAACAGCCTACCCTGCATCACTCATGTCCCTTACCTAGAACAGTCTGAGCCCCAAGCCCCCTAGGATCCCACCCAAACTGCCTCCAAGCTGTCAGCTCTTTTCCCCTTTTTTTCTGTAGCATTTACCTGGTTGCTAGTTCACAAGACCACCTCTCCCTCTCTCTCCCCACAACAGGGAATGGAAGCAGAGCTACTGCATTGCAAATAACCAACAAACCAGCTCCTCTAGACAGGTCCAGGAAGGGTGCAGGCAGCTCCCCCAACCCTCTGGAAGCTGGGCAGCCTGCCCAGGTGGGTACCCTCAGGACTGCCCTTAGAACCCAAGAGTGAAACCACAGGTGGAAAAGATCAAGGGATTTAAGTTTCAAAGGATTCAGGTCTTGATCTATAAAACTCCTTTTCACATACCTCTGAGAGGCAGAAAGGAAAACCCTGCTGGGTCCTGCCAGGATCCAGAGATCCCTCAAGCCCAGGACCACACCAGTGTGTGCATAGGCAGCTCTGTGAGGACCACCCTCCCCTGCTTTAAAACAAGGCAGTTACTTCAAAGTCATCCAGTCAGCCAAATATGACCTTGCCAATTAGCATGAAATTAGGGAATAAAAGATCACCCAAGCAACTGCATTCCATGCTGGGTTTATCCAAACCATCATCTAGGAAAAGCTAAAGATAGACACGTGCAGGACAAGGGAGGGCAGGGGCTGAAGTTTGGTTTTGACCTCATATCCTCTTGCTGCAGTGCAGCTCCTGGGATTTAAATGGACTTCCTTATTTGCATAAGTAAAAGAGCCAATTTTTTTCTTAATTAACTTGCTCATTGTCATTTGAAGGGACCAGTGCAGAGCTCTTTTGCATTTTTCAAAAGCCGGGTTGTCTGTTATTTACACAAACTGCTTGGAAGCTCCAAGTGAGAGCTGGTTTCCTGAGTGAAATCTGGAATTCTCTGCTAGATGTGCATATTTGTTTCTTTACGGCAGGGCTGAACACTGCCTCCTGTGTTCCTGAGCCAGGACCCAGCTGCAGGCACTTTCAGTTTTTTCCCTTTTAATAGCTTTGCATCTGGGAGAAAAAAAAATGAACAGGCAAATTATACAGGGCTTGACACCTACAAGACGTGGCAATGTCCCTGGGAGCCTCTCTACATACAAACAAGCATTTAGAGGAATATTAATATTTATGGATGCTCCCTGCTTCCCCTCTCTGTGTTATATATACACAGACTTTGTAGATTCATATCACCAGATGCAATGTAAGAGTCTGCTGAGCTACAGCAAGGGCTTGAGCCCACGAGAAAATACTCTTTCCCATCTGCAGTCTCACCTGTTGTCTCAGGGCAGGATTTTGTCTGGAATCTTATTTAAGGATAAGTTTTGGTTGGATTTTCAAAACACCTCTCAGAGGATCAACTCCCAGAAGGGTTAACCTCAAAAATTAAAAATTATGTGACAGCCTTACCTGTCAGCAGATCATCACAGAGTGAACACCACAAAACTACATGAAGGGAGCTGCTGAAGCAGAGCAGCTTTTCAGTATTTTGTCTGTCATAGTGACCAACAACAGGTATTAGGGAAGAATACACAAAGCAGTTATCAGAACTTACTCATCAG